ATCGGACATACTGCATTTACCTGAGGACGATCGCCCCTGAACGCAAACATATGCAGGTAATCGATTCGGTTCTGTTTACATGTACAAGGGGCCTTAGGCAGGTCATACATTAAGCAATTTGTTGACTGTGTTGATGGGGGAATGCCTCCCGCAGTGCTATTGTGTTCTGCTGCCGTTGCCGACACACCATTTCATTTTTCCCCTGTACAAATCATTAGTAAGACCTCATCTGGAATATACAGTTCAGTTTTGGGCACCAATTCACAAAAAGAACATTGGGGAACTGGAGAAAGTACAGAGAAGGGCAACCAAACTGATAAAAGGTATGGAGGAGCTCAGCTATGAGGAAAGATTAGAGGAACTGAATTTATTCTCTCTTGAGAAGAGGAGATTAAGGGGGGATATGATCAACATGTATAAATACATCAGTGGTTCATATAGTGAACTCGGTGTAGAGCTATTCACCCTGAGGTCATCACAGAGGACAAAGGGGTTCTCTTTAAATCTGGAGGAAAAGAAATGTAATCTCCAAACACGGAAAGGTTTCTTCACAGTAAGAGCTGTGAAAATGTGGAACAAACTCCCTCAAGAGTTGGTTCTGGCCAGCTCAGTGGATTGCTTCAAAAAAGGCCTGGATTGTTTCTTAGATACACAGATTATAACTGGATACTAACATTTATAGGTAAAGTTGATCCAGGGAATATCCGATTGCCTTTTCGGGGGATCAGGAAGGAATGTTTTTCCTCTGCAGGAGCAAATTGGATCATGCTTTGCTGGTTTTTTTGCCTTCCTCTGGATCAACTGTGGCTGTAGGATTATAACTTTTTCTTTTTTTTATTGGTTGAACTGGATGGACTTTTGTCTTTTTTTTTAGCCAGACTATGTAATTATGTAACCACAATGACCACTGCTAGCGGCTTTAGCTGCCAGCAGTGATCGTATGAAAGAAACAATCGGACAGGTTGGTTGTACTGAAGTTGATCTATGGATCGACTTTAATACAGCCAGCCTGCCGATAGATGGATTGAATCTTGGCTGGGCCCTGCTGAACAATGCATCTATATATTCACATCCTCTTTTTTTCCTAAAGCAGCTCATAATGTATGTTTTGTTTCTTTGATTATGAATACACAGTATTTTCCAGTAAGCCACAAAACAAAAACCTGGAAAATAATCAAGCAACCGCTGTCAGCATTTTTATTTGTGGTTAGTAACTTATGATGGATGATATCATGCAGTATTGGATGTGTTTTCACTTCTGTTATGCAGTTTGTTCTGTTTATCCTTTTCTGTGAAGTTTTGTTCTTTCTCAGCTGTACATTTTATTAATATTATTGTATTTTTCATGCTTTTGCTTCCTCTGTTTTCTTCCCTGTTTTATTTGCAGAGATCGTGTGACATGTCGCATACGGTTCAGCAGATGGTGCTAACTCATACTTTCTTGGCCTCTGCTGATCCCAGCCAATATCTCCATATTTTGTCAGAACAATCAATATTGCTAGACAGTGTAGCTAACCTTTACACAGAGTATTCTTTATTGATGTCATGTATAATGGATTCTGATTTTAGTCCTATAACTCAGTGATCACTGCAGATTTGTAGCACAGTACATGGGAAATACTTTTGAGTAGCACAACAGGCTTCAATCCCGCGTAAACTTTTATCGACTAGAAGTCAATGCGCAGCTCCCCTAGACTCCTTCCTCTGATGCATTTTCATTCTGCATTAAAGCTTTATTGTAGACGTAATCATCGGACACCGGTTTGAATCCTTCCCCACTTTGCATTGTAGTAAAACTTTAACAAGTACACATTTTGCTGTCATTTTTTTGTTCAATGTTGTATCTGGTTGTTGGTTTGTTTTTGTTTTTTTAAAGCTGAACTTTGGGACAAAAAAAGTTTCATTTAAATCTATTAATTGATCATGGATATATGACCAAGCACCCTGCGCAAGGTTAGAGAGTAGCAGTGATCGGTCTTTATTACAGGAAACGCCCGCACAATTGCAAAGTGCACAAGTTGTTTCATACTGGTTTAGTGAACACGTATGGGAAAAATCCACAAGGATACCAACATATAAAGTGGAACTTTAGTCAGAAAATGAAGTCCTGCTAGATCACTTCAGGCTGGCCCCATTTGCAGGTATAACTATGTAAAACACATGTGGCAAACACCAAGGCCTGTGGGCCAAATCCAGCCCACCAGGCCATTTCATGTGGTCCTCGCACCTCTCCTGCAGCGGAGGCACCCCCCTCATCTCCACTTCTACCTTGTCCAAGCAGTCGGCAGCAGAGAGGAAGACAGAGCTCCTTCTACAGAACCTGTGACTCTCTGAGCAGCTGCAGCACCCCCTCGTCTCTGCCCCGACCTTGTCTCAGAGAGGCTTGTCTCTGCCCCCCCCCACCCCAATCTTAGTAGGTGGCAGAAGAGAGGAGGACAGAACACCTCGTACAGGTCTTGTGCCTCTCTGTGCCACTGAAGCACCCTCTTGTCTTGGCCTCCCCTGGCCCCCGTATTCAGTAGACTCCTGCAGTTGACTCCAGCTCTCCTCTGGTCCTCCTCCAGACCCTGCATTTTCGGCTTCCCAGCTCCACCCCCAGCTTCTTCCCGGCAGCAGCACAAGGTGTAAGTGGGGTGTACTATGATATTCTGGACATCTAGTCCTACAGACATAACCAACCCCTTGAGGGCAACCATAATGCTGATGCCGCCCGAGATGAAATTGAGTTTGACACCCGTGATGTAAAACATTAGGTACAGTGAAGAAAATAAGTATTTGATCCCCTGCTGATTTTGACTATTTGCCCACTCACAAAGAAATGATCTGTCTAAAAATCGAATGGTAGGTGTATTGTAACACTGAGAGACAGAATAGCAACAAAAAAAAATCAAACGAAATGCATGTCTAACAAATTATGCACCGATTTGCATGTTCATGAGGGAAATAAGTATTTGATCCCCTATCATTCAGCAGGATTTCTGGCTACCAGGTGTCTTTCATACAGGTAACAAGCTGAGATTAGAAGCAGTCTCTTAAAGGGAGTGCTGCTAATGTCATTTTGTTACCTGTGTAAAAGACTCCTGTCCACAGGAGCAACCAAACAATCAGATTCCAAACTCTCCACCATGGCAAAGACCAAAGAGCTGTCCAAGGATGTCAGGGACAAGACTGTAGACCTACACAAGGCTGGACTGGGCTACCAAACTATTGCCAAGCAGCTTGGTGAGAAGGTGACAACAGTTGGTGCAATCATTCGCAAATGGAAGAAACAAAACAACTGTCAGTCTCTCTAGGTCTGGTGCACCATGCAAGATCTCACCTTTTGGAGTGTCAATGATCATGAGAACAGTGAGGAATCATCCCAGAACTACAGGTGAGAATCTTGTCAATGATCTCCAGGCAGCTGGGACCACAGTCACCAAGAAAACAATTGGTAACACACTACGCCGACAAGGATTGAAATCCTGCAGTGCCTGCAAGGTCCCTCTGCTCAAGAAAGCACATGTCCAGGCCCAATCTGAAGTTTGCCACTGAACATCTGAATGATGCAGAGGAGGACTGGTTGAAAGTGTTGTGTCAGATGAGACCAAAAGCAAGCTCTTTGTCATCAACTTAACTCTCCGTGTTTGGAGGAGGAGGAATGCTGCCTATGACCCCAAGAACACCATCCCAACTGTTAAACATGGGCGGTGGAAACATTCTGCTTTTGGGGGTGTTTTTCTGCTAAGGGGACAGGACAACTGCACCGCATTAAAGGGACGATGGACGGGGCAATGTACCATTAAATTTTGGGTGAGAACCTTCTTCCCTCAGCCAGGGCATTGAAAATGGGTTGTGGATGGGTGTTCCAGCATGACAATGACCCAAAACACACGGCCAAGGCAACAAAGGAGTGGCTCAAGAAGAAGCACATTAAGGTCCTGGAGTGGCCTAGCCAGTCTCCAGACCTTCATCCGATTGAAAATCTGTGGAGGTAGCTGAATGTTCGAGTTGCCAAGCCTTAATGACTTGAAGAGGATCTGCCAAGAGGAGTGGACCAAAATCCCTCCTAAGATATGTGCAAACCTGGTGGCCAACTACAGGAAACGTCTGACCTCTGTGATTGCCACCAAGTACTAAGCCATGTTTTGTGAAGGGGATCAAACACTTATTTCCCTCGTGAACATGCAAATCAGTGCATCATTTGTTAGACATGCATTTCTTTAGAATTTTTTGTTGCTATTCTGTCTCTGTGTTACAATACACCTACCATTCGATTTTTAGACTGATCATTTCTTTGTGAGTGGGCAAACATTCAAAATCAGCAGGGGATCAAATACTTATTTCCTTCACTGTACATATACTGTTTAAAATCCAGTAATACACTGTCTCATCATGCTCTGAACATGCTAAGTTGCTCTCTATTTCTTTGCATTGTGCCGAAAAGCAGAGCAACTAGAGGCCGATCTGCTGACAGCCTAAAGATTTACTGCTGCTCAGGGGCTGTAGGCTTCAGTAAAATGGCAGCCTCCAGCAGGCAGAAACAGGAACAATGCTGGAGGCAATTTACAGCACATACTGATTTTGGTAAGTATAATTAATAATGTGGAATGCATGTTCCTTGCGAAAGAACATTATTTCTATCAAGTTGTTATGGGTAAAGTTCTGCTTTCAGTAAGAATATACATGGCTATTATATTTGGACAGTTATTCTTTAGCCCAGATTTCAGCTTTAATACGTATAATTTGAAATATTTATATGGTTTTAATGACTGCACAACTGGATTAAATGGTTAGTTTATATATCCTCATGAAGTTTCTTTATAATTGTTGTCCTCTTCCTCTGCAGCTAACTGCTATTTTCTGTAAAACCTGAAATTCACTGAAATATCCCACGGCAGCTGACTGTGGTTGGTTTTTCACTCCTATAGTCTCCCTTTATTATATTCTTGGTAGAAAGCATATTTTGTATTTCTGTAGATTTGTTTTGTGTTGCTGTAATCCTGTTTTAATTTCTGTGCAGGTGTTGTAGAGAGAGTGAGTGTGATCGGGCAGCTGAGCCTCACCGTTTTACGAGCGATCTCAGCCAATGCGTGCGTCTGGACGTCACTCCCAACAATGCCTCTGTCAGCGTACCTGAACTGCTGGTAAGGTGCAATGTAAAGGGGAATTCTGCCTTGTGCAATGTAATGTTGAGCCAAATAAAAGGTGCCCACACTTTAACTACTATATTTATCCAAAACAATACAATCTCTGCTACAACATAGTTTCTACATCTGCTGCTTTGCATAGCGATCAATTGTGAGTGTTTTTTTAGTTTTACAATAAAATGGAGCTTATTTAAGGTGGAGCGACCGAAAACGGCGCATACTTCAACTTGGTTGCTGTTTTGGTGTATTGGTATTCACATTGATAGAGTAACATCTGTTTGTCTCTCCGCAGCTGAACCTGACTGTGCAGAATGTACCGGATCTGTCTTCCGGTGTCACCTGTGTGTTCGGGGACATGGCCGAAAGCGAGGCAGTCCTAGTGGATGAAACGGTTCAGTGCTCCTCCCCTTCACTGCATGACATTCCTGGAATCACAGGAGGACAGGGTGGGTCTGTGTGCTCTGTAAGGGACACTGCTTCACATGTGTCAGTATCTTCATTTGTATTGCCACCACAGTGAACATACTCAGCTCTGTTCCCACCCTATGTACCGCTGCACCTGCAATGACTCTTTCCTTGTTGTACTGTTTAGCTGGAGTCCTGCTTTAGGTCTATTTCTGATAGTTTGTCTTGTGTTTTTACACTAGGAGCTCTACACACAGTCCAGCTTTACCTGAAGTCCAAGGAGACGGGTCTGAGGTTTGCCAGCACCGACTTTGTCTTCTACAACTGCAGCGTCCTTCAGTCGTAAGCTTTCTTTGCCTCTTTGACCCTTTTTCTTTCTCTCCTGTCTCTCTCTCTCTCTCTCTCTCTCTCTCTCTCTCTTCTCTCTCTCTCTTTCTTTCTCTCTCTCTCTCTCTCTCTCTCTCTCTCTCTCTCTCGCTCTCTCTTTCTCGCTCTCTCTTTCTCGCTCTCTTTCTCGCTCTCTTTATCTCTCTCTTTATCTCTCTCTTTCTCTCTCTTCTCTCTCTTTCTCTTTTTTTTCTTTTCTTTTTTTCGCTTTCTCTTTCTCTCTCTCTCATTAGTTGATGTGATAACATGGTTTGTAAGTTTATGTCGTATTTTATTATAGTGTCTTTCTTGTTGGCAGGTGTCTGTCCTGCGTGGTCAGTCCGTATGCGTGCCACTGGTGTAAATACCGTCATATTTGTACACACAATGCCGAAGAGTGTTTCTTTCTGGAAGGTCGTGTGAACAACACTGATGTATGTATCACTAGCTCACGTCTGCCTGTAGGGAAGCAAATTGTTTTGTAATAAACCAGATATTTTATTCCATTGCTGTATAAGGCCAGATCTGTGGAATTCCATACAAAAGGCCGTGGCTGTGGTGAAGGTCAAATAAAGTTGCTTAGGGAACTCCTTTAGAGCTAGAAAGGCCTAACTACCAGGATAGTAAGGAGAGTACAGTCAAAGTCCATTGGCATGTAGGGTGTAATCCAGGGAGCCTATAGGTTCCGAAATTTTGACGATCTATCATCTCGTTTGGCTGCCATTTTCTCATATGTCATGCACAAACTGATGGCAGATTTAGGCTCCTCAAAAGCGGTGTTTGGCTTTCTCCATGATCTAGCAATGGCCTGCTAGAGCGGGGAAGGAGTAAACAGGTTTTTTTTTTATTGCTGTCTGCATCCACATCGGAAGGATTTCACTTAACTTCTTGCCAAGATGACTGGTGCTAGTTGGACTGGAAGTGATGGGAAATGTCACTAATAGAGACATTGGCTGGGGAGGAATCAAAAATTGTCTAGTCTTTATAACTGTGTCCTGTTAGGGAGATTCCCTGAATTCTGGTATCTGGTGCATCCAGAGCAAAAAATGAGGGGTGGTATCCCCAATGCGGACACAGTCAGCAAATAAAGCTAACAAAGCTCCTTACCCTACTCTACTCTATCTAAATTGTATATTGGTTGAAGAATGAACAAATGCGTTTCAAAGCTTGCATATTTAAAATCTTAAAGTAGCATTCCAGTCAAATTCTAACTTTACCTAAATCTATCTCACCCCCATTCTAAGCCTATTCTGTTTACCCCGTGAAAAGAAAGATGTCTATACTTACCTATGTTGTGGGTACTCTGGTTTGGTCACATGATCGGTTCCCAGTGCTGGCTTTGGGGTAGAGGAGTGACAGACAAAATTGATGCCCCATAGTATGGGTGACGTCATCTCCCAAGCTCTGCAGCCATTTTCGTCAATCTCTCTTATTCACTGAAGCCGGCCACTGGAGAAGTTGTGTGAGCATCCACAACATGGGTAGGTATAGACATCTTTCCTTTACAGGAAAGTTAGAATAGGTGTAGAATGGGGTGGGAGCAGGTTTAGGTATAGTTAGGATTTGACTGGAATGCTACTTTAAGTTAGACAATAAAGGTTACACCTTGAAATCCAAACTTTCCAAAAAACAAAAAAAAATTTGGTTTATGTGCTTCTTAAAATGAGTCAGCTATGTCTGTGTAACATTTTGTAGTTTAATTTGCAAGTAGTTTGTTGTCTTACTCTAAAATGATGTCCCCATTTGTCACTGCACATCTCCCAGCTGAAGCTGAACTGCTGAAATTTCCTCTATAGTATACAGCCCCGCCAGGGTGGACTTTTAAGCTGTATGATGCCAAACCTTTCAAAGGTTTAAAGCTTCTTTTAAAGAGTGAGTACACTCTAATTGATATTAGTTGCTGGAGTTGTGAATCACCCACTGACTTCTTAATATTTCTAGAGCACTGCAGTGGTACAGTCTCTGGAATTCTGGTTCTCACCTGCTGCTCCTCCCAGAAGGAACCTCACTTTCTCCTTTTTATGTTCATTTGCTATTAGAGAGATCATGGCAGGGGTAGTAAACCTCCATGGTGAGGTGGGCAGTACTCAAATGTCCGGCTGGGACATCTCACTCCAGGGTTTCTAAGAGGTGCAGGAAGCCAATCAGAAATTCACACTACCCATAACCCAAATATTTTTTTGGATTGTATTTTTTTATGCCTTTTTTTGTACTGAGTGTGCTATCATTTTGTGCACAAGTTTTCCATTTTTTTTACCTTCTCTGACTTACTCTTGTCCCCCGTGTGTTCTCTTTGTCCTTTTATCATTCACTCTTTTTCATGGAAAGACAGTGACTATAAAAGCAGTGTCTTTCCATGATAGACTCCCCCTCCTCTTCGGTATATACATTGTCAGCAGGCTTCAGTGCCAAATGCTGGTGTTAGTGTGTGAAAGTGAGAATCTCACTGATCTGAAAGTGTCAGGGGTTGGCTAAGCAGCGCGTTTTAATCGGCAGCGCCTGACTACCCATCTCCTCGCACCTCGTCAGGGGGTGGCAATCCTTCCTGAACAATGCTGCAAACATCTTTCTTAAATCCTATGTAGCACAATAAAGTTTCAAGAGGAGCACTCAAAGGGTTCTGTTTCTACTTATGCCTATGCAAAGAACAAAATTTGAAAATCACAGGCGTGGCTATTTCAAGAGCAGCTTTCTTATCTCTAACAAAATTGGTAAAATCGTCTTTCTAAATGGCATTCATTAGGAGAGTTGGGCCAGTTTTGGGAAAACGCCCATTGCTCTTAATCTGAATGACTATCACTTTTCATTTTCTAGAGAAGCAGGAGAGGCCTCTAGACAAGGAAATTCAGCATATCCTTGCTTTTCTCCCTTTAAAAGAAGCTTGGATAAAGTAATTGGATACCTTGAACTACATAGGCAGATATTTTTTTTTTTTCATCTTAATTCCTTCTGTTACATTTGTTTGTTTTGCTCTCCACACTGTATAGTAAAAATGCAGATGAATAAAAAATAAAAGCTTTCTTTTTATGCTTGTATAGGCTATTGAAGCATATGTATTGGAACATATTCAAGGTTTACAGGGAGCCAGTTATCCTGGTGGTTAAAGATAACCTGAGCTGTTCTTTCAGCATCTTAGGTGCAGCACAGAGTAGTCTTTTAATTGTTCCATTATTGGCTATAGAAAAGACAACATACTGTAGCTACTAGCATGTTTTGAACCTTTCTAGATTTGTATTCAGTAGCCTGTATGCAGGAAGACGGGTGATAACAATTTACAAGGTTGGCTTGTTCACTTCCATACCTTACAGTATGAAATGTTTCAAAATGGTGAGGTTGCACTTCAAGTGTACCTGTCACCTGCACACTGTTTAGAGAGCTGAAGCTTTTTATATTTTGGTTTTTTTTTTTTTTCCCTTCCTTAAAGCATCCATGGAAAGAAATCAATGGAGACCTCTTTGGAAAGAAGATGTTGCTTGTCCTTTCTCTCCACCTCCTGGAAATGCTAGTGGCTTGATTGCCTCTTTTTTGATGCTTTCTGAATCACTGAAATGGGGCAGTCATGCTGCCAGCACTGTTGGAGCTCCCAATCTCTACATTTTTCAGATCATTGACTTTGTTTAAAATTGTTAAATCAATATGACATAGAGACAGCTACCATTTTCAGAAGCAGGTTAGGAAATGACAGCCGCCATGTTGTTCTTAGGAGTTTGGTTCAGCCCCCCAATAATTGGCCATTGCCACTCAAAAGGGTGGTCAAGACCAGCGAGCATACTCAAATTCAAGATACTCAAACAGACTAAGACCTGGTCCAAATGCACATACTGAATGTAAATCTCCACATCTCCACTCACACACTATTGTAAATTTGCATGCATGCAGCCCTCAGCTTAGATGTAACCCACGTCAACCAGCTCTGGGTTTGCAGCGAGAGAGGATGTGTTACCATGGCAACAAGAGCCTTCCTGAGGCGTCAAGCTGTAAGTAGGCAGAAGGCCACGTGGTCCCTCATCTTTTGCTGCACATCTCCCGGGGGCACTAGGGGGAAGAGGCGCTGTGCAGAGAATAAGGGAGGAAGAGTCTGAAAACATCTATGCGGATTAATGCACCACGCAGCTGTAATTCAATCACCATGTACATACATACATACCATTACTGCATATACAATTCGACCAAACTGCTGACACACATCATTTTGTGTTTCTCTAATATTGTCTCATATTCTTCTACTGCCTTTGCTATGAAACCTGTTGACTTTATATAGAAATCATCAGTAAAATTAAGTGGGGACCTCTTCCTCTTCTTTTTTTTTTTTTTTTATATTACTTTAGCCAAAATGTAACAAAAAAAGTGTAGCATCAGCTGGACTTTTATAAAAGGTAGAGAGAAAGCACAAAACGTTACCCTGTGATGATCCTATATGTATATCCCTCCATTGCCCTAGTCACATGACATTAGCAGGCATTACTCGTGTTTCTAGCAATAGTCTGAGAAGACTAAAGTCGACTATACACTTTCAATCAGGTAATATTTATTAAAGGGTAACTCCACTTTCGTGGGGAAAAAAATGTGCAAATTATTATTAGCAAATAAAAAAAAATAGTGTATACAATTGTGACACAAGTCATATTGTAATTGAATTTTATTAAAACTTTTCAATCTGCAGCACTGTAATTTTCTGTAAAATGCAATATGGCTACCTGGAGGTGTTCTGTACACAAATGGTGTACAGAACACCCACTGAAAATGTTATTTCCTGCTTGTGTGATTGGCTTACTGATTTTCCCAGAAGTCTGCACTGAGATGCAAGTCAGATTTTAGGCATCCCCAGCAACAAAAAATGTCAGTTTTGGTGAGTTACGCCAAAAGGGAAATCACATCTAAAGGGATGCAGACCCTGCAGTTTTCCTCATTGGAGCCCTGCAGGTGCAGCAACTGAATATTGATAAAACTACTCTTATACAGACTCACTCTGCACATAGAAACATACAAACAATTATTTCTTCAGAACAGCAAAAGGTAGGAATATGCAACAAAGCTTGTTAAAATCCTTGTATTGTACATAGTTCACCCAGAAGTGGATGTTTTTTTTTTTTTAACAAAAGTGGAGTTAGTCTTTAAAGTGAAGAAACCATGTCTGGATCTACTTGTTTCGGTTCTAATGCTGTAGTTCTTTGTATAGAGCTGTCTGTACTTTATTCTTGCTTTATCTTTCGATTGTGTGCTTTGTGTTATGCATACTAAAAGACTTTAAAGTGGAAGTAAAGGTAAAACCTTTTGAACTCGAAACCTACTCTTGGCCACATTCTAAGCCCAATCTATCTAACCCTGTAAAGAAAAAAACGGTTCTGCAGCCACTCTGGTCTGGTTCCATGCTGTCTGTGGTATCTTCAGTGTGTTGGAGAAGCAGCTGACAACGGAAACCCCATAGTAACTCTACGGGTGACATCACTTCCCAGGCATTTCCCAGCCATCGTCGGCTGTCTCGTGCACACAGAGGGCACTGCTGGAGACCGGACCAGAGTGGCTGCACAACAGGTAAGTATAGCAAATTTGTTCTTTACAAGGCTAAGTAGATTAGGCTTAGAATGTGGCTGGGGGTGAGTTTAGAGTTAGTTATTTTTTGCCTTTACTTCCACTTTAAAGTCTTTTAGTATGCATAACACAAAGCATGCATAAACAAAAGTTTAAAAAAAAAGTACAGACTGTAACATACAATGACCTACAGCATTTATAACTGAAACAAGTAGATCCAGATGCGGTAGACTTATTACATTATGTATCAACCTACTAGGTGGACAACATAGGAGGTACAGAGCACTGATGGTTATAGTGGCATATTTACATAGTTCCTCAAATTACACTTCTAAAAACCATGAAAGAGTAAAACAGACAAATAGTGACTTTAACAGTGATATTATATAGAATAACTATTGGCAGATTAAACTAAGGTAGGAGAGGATAACCAAGGAGACCAAATTTAAAAAAAAACTTATTTGGACTACCTCTATGCTGGTACGCAAGTTTATCCTCTATCAAGCATAGCTTTAACAGAAGCACAACGTTGTGAGAAAGTGAGAAGACTAGAGGACAACCAGCGCTGTGCAATTAGTTTATGAGCAAGATATAATAAACGTATGACCGGTAATTTACTTGCAGGTGGAAACATATCCTTGGGGATTACACTGAGAAGGGCAATTGTAGGTTTAAATGGAAAAGAGGTGTCCAGTATCTGAACAACTTGGGGCACCTCCAAAGCATATAGATCAATGTACCAACTTCATGAAAGCCTCGGGGACAATTAAGAGAATCAACCCTATACCATACATTCAGTTTTTAGGGAGTATAATGAACCCTGTGTAGAATGGCTGGCCATAAATTTTATATGGTATTGGGCATGAATCAACCACGGTCAGAAATTTTTGCTACCTAGTGCATTCCTAAAGAGTACAGTTGTATCAGGTCTATGGAGGGAGGCGGGGAGACCTGTCCCGGCGTTGGCTAATCAATAAAAAAAAAAAAATATATATATATATCTCAAATACAAAAACAATAATGCACGTTTTCTAACTTGTCCCATAGCTATTCACTTCAGTTCCACTCAGTTGGGAGTGTCTGCAGTTAAGCATATAAATGCTACATCATTGCTTCTTCTGAATCAGAAAGACTTGAGAGGAGACTATTATCAAATGTATTTTAGCACCTTAATGTGAACCTGTGCTTTGTCCCACCAGCTGTTAATACTTGCCTTTTGACTGCTGAGAGTAAAAAGGAGGAACCCTTATGTAAGCTTTAAGTCATTACCTGGTGCCTACAGAGGGCCAAGGACTTTCTTCCCATCCTCATGTGCTCCAATCACTGGAAAGTGCACAAGTCACATGCTTCCCCATACCTAAAATTATGGGTATATGCATTCACTCCTATAGCTGAATGGATCAGGGGAGTGAAGAAAGACTAGTATGTGTAGCTGATTTGGCAGCTAATAAATTTAACCTGTTGTGTCCATCATGGTCAAAGTACACATTCACTTAGACTTAGTCTTCAGCAGCAGACCTGTCTGAAGAGTCTCCTGATATTTGCCCACAAGCATCGCTAGAGCCCATGTGATCAGTGCCTTGGCCTCTATCATCTACTGCTGCCTAGTAGTTAGGATTTTAGCTTTCTTTGCCTTTTGCTAATGTTATGCAGGATAAATATTATTAGGGTCTTTTTATACTAAAGTGCATTTTTACAGGTGTACTTTAAAATAGTAGTGTCCACTGCACTAGCATTCCACATAGATCTCTCTGAGTTGACCCATGGCAAATGCAATCAAAGTGTGAATGCATTGGATGTACCAGAGTGCAGCTCTAACTACTCATTCTATCAACACCACCATGTGTTAAAAATATTTCATCACCCATCTCCCTTTTTCAACTGCTAGAAATCCTTTACCATCATTGGTCTGGATTCCCTTCTCACAGCATCATAAATATGCTTTTCCCGTTAATGCAGCAGCACGAGAAGTGCCAACAAGCTCAGATTTACATGGAAAAGCTCTCTTAAAACCATAAAACGTGAAAGTAGAAGTGGCACTCAGGCTAATACGCGCCATTTCTCTTTTCACGGAAGACTGATTTATTCCAATGACCTCATGTGTGTCCTCTGTTTGTCCTCCCCCAGATTGAAGAGGTTTTATATGTGTGTAAAGCTGCCTTTAATTTATTGTGCGCATGCTTGTGTGACAGTCAGTATTCCTTTTATTGGGGAAAAAGTTATGAATAAAAAATTGGACGTGTAACCGCAAAGACCTTTGTACAGGGGGGCACCCATACAATAGCAGCTGCTTATCCAGCCTCCATTTCCTACTATCTTGGTTAAACTCTTTCTCTTGCATTTCTTTTATCATGTCTGTCCTCTTTTTCACCTTGTTGTAATTACATCAGGATTATGCAAGATTGCTGGTTGGGAAGAATACATGTTGTTTTATTCAGTGGTGGTGTTTTTTTATACCTTAGATCAGAAAGCTGATAGGTCATGAGACTAAAGGGGAGTCAAAAACCAGACCCATGCTAAAAATTGATAGTTGAGTGGAGTACTTTATCTCTTTTTATATTTATCTTTCTCAGTCTCTAAAATAATGTAATGAAGGCGTCACTGTGTCACATCTGGATACCCCAATTGTTTCCTTTTATATTATGTAAAGGTGGGAAGGCTTTGTAGCAGTTGGCAGAAACTGGTATTTTAGTGGGATATTTCATCACTGTGTTTGACCTAGAGATTTAAAAAGCCAAAATATAGTTCAGTTCTCCAGGAGCTATGCAACACTGATATCTGTTTTAGGTGTACTAAGTGTGGCAGTAACAAACAATGCACACAAAATTTATATTTTAAATGTTTTCTTCTGATAGTTTATCCTTTTTTGCATTCTCTTTCGAGAGGTTTTTTATTTATTTAAAAAAAAAAATAATCGTAAATAAAATTATATATTCTAACACTTTCCTTTTTAGCCTTTGGAGACCCACATGTTCCAGCATGCAGCTAATATTGAGCCTGACAACAGGTTTAACAGTCTTGTTTCCTTTCCTGTCAGTTTCATAACCTGTGTAACATAATTGGTCTCCCTTGTAGGGATGTCCAGAGATTATTCCGACCGGTGAAATCTTGATACCAGTTGGTGTGGTGCAACCGATCACTCTGAAAGCCAAGAACCTCCCTCAGCCGCAATCTGGCCAGAAAAACTACGAATGCGTGTTCAACATTGAAGGGAAAATACAACGAGTTCCTGCGGTGAGGTTTAACAGCAGCAGCGTGCAGTGTCAGAACACTTCGGTGAGTGTACAGTGTGCAAAAGTATTCATTTTATGAGGAGCTTCAGACAACAAGTAAATCCAGTCAATGAGTTGCTAATGGGTGCTGGATAATACTGTTGGTCAAAATAGCAAATGCAGCTGAGGATAATGCATGAGTCCTCAGCAACTAGAATAGAGAGACCTGATGCTTACACAGCTTTTTCCCTGTGTAAACTCCCAAGTTGCTGTAGTCGAAGCTTACACAGGGCTGAGGACTCTCTACCTCTCCTCCATGTGACATTGCTGGGCCAAGCACCAGTGTTGTCAAATGTTTGGAAGTGAATCACAGCCTCCCCCATTCCAGAAAGTGTTATGTATTTTCTTTGCCCTCAGTGATTAAAAACAGCGTCAGGGGAGCAAATGAAAAGCGAGTACATGCTCATCTCCCCCAGGTTACACAAGCTTATCTAGGAAAAAAGTGTCTTGCTTGCCTATGTAGAGTGCTGCTGTGTTCCGGCAGCAGTGCAGTCGGCTTCCTGTCTGCCAGATTGCAGAATTAAACAGATTGCTTCTCCGCCATTCATGTATTTTTTGTGCATGCTTCCTTTGATGGGACAAGGTGGAGAGGAAGGCGGCTGACATCACAATATCTACGACCAGTTACAGGAAGCTTTATTTAAAGTTAAATGAAACCTGGAATTCTAGTTTAAAGGATAAGTTCACCTAATGGGAAAAAACTAATAAATGCACATATTTTTGCAGAAAAAAAATGTGAATTTATTATTTTTTTCCCTAAGCAGAGTGAAAATAATTGCACCTGTGATTAGTGGATCAGGGGTGCAATGCCAGACTCGTGCAGACAAACCCTGCAGTTTTCACCCTGTACCTGCATACGGGCTTACTGTTTGCAAGCTGCAGGGCTTGTGAATGAACTATAAGGCCACTCATCAGCGATCCCGCAGTCCATTCAGAACTACAAGCCATAAATTAACGGTGTGGCCAGAGCCCTGTACGGTTGCGCTATTTTCAAATGATGAGAGCAGGTACTGGGAGAAGATCCCCACTTGCTGTCAATGAGGGGGGGAGGGGGAGAGGCTGCTGATGCAGGAATATGTTACATGTTCCAACCTAAATACATGGGAAACATGTAACATGTTCCAGAAGGTAAAATTAAGTCCAAATGCCCCACGCTGCGATGACAACAATGCTGCGGCACAGGACTAGAAATCACACCTGTGTGCATTCTTTGTTCTCAGGCCCCACTGTGATACAGACAAAGTAGTTATAGTCCAGTAAATACACAGTTAAATATGGATTGGGTACCTAAGCTTCAGTGATTGGTCATGAAGGGGTTAAACTGTGCATTTACCTGTTTGCCTGGTGTTCCACTTAAGATCAGTTTGTGGTTTGCTTTACTGATTTAGTTGCACACATGGTCCATATGCTGCTGTTTGCTAAACTAGGCTTTGACTACTTTGTAATATGCTGCCAGAACGTGTTGCATTGATAAAGTTCTAAATAGCAAAACGAACCTTTTGTGAGACAGAAACATTATGGGGAACGATTTATATAGAGAGAGATGACACAAGATAACTTTGAGAAAGGAATCTGCCACAGCACCACTATTCAGTGGATGGTGTTGTCAACATCCATTTTTTAGCATCATCTTGTGGTCCCCTAGGTAGAATCTAGCATCTCCCCTAGTTGGTTATGCAGCATATTTCATGGGAAAGGAAAGTGGGATACTGATACTTTTATCACTTACTGATACTTATACTGACACATTGGGACCTCAAGAAATGAACCGACATTGTGGCATTAAAGCAGTGTTAAACCCAAAAGCAAACATTTATTGTAGCTTATCATTTCTTGGGTGTGGCGGCTGCATTTTTTTTCTTTTGTAGGCTTTCTTTTCTTTATTTTAATCTGGTGATCCAGCCAGCAAGTCTGTTTTTCAACAGAACAAGCTCTCTTCCAAATGTATCAGTTTACATGGATGAGACAAGCCATTTAACACTGACAGGGGTACTTACAATGATCACCTTTTATTCATATAAAACCTTATTCCTAAAAGGAAAAAAAACGGTTTGCTGTATTTGATTATAAAGTGTTGGCTGGAGTTTGGCTTTAATTTGTTAGTGTATTTAAATCTTCTAGGGCATTTAACATTCCCCTTCCCCCAGACTGACAGTACTGCTGTCTGCAGTGCTCCTTCATCCAGAATGGAGGCATTCTAAGGCCCCTTTCAGACAAGGTGAACTCCATCAAGCAGATCCCGCCTGCTCAGCAGGGGATCTCTCATCTGATCCCTGCTGAGCAGGCGACTGACAGGTCGGTGTCTGCTCCTCTATGTAGAGCAGACACAGACACAGCCCGCTGTTCTCTATGGGGTGGTCAGATGGAAACAGACTTCCTGTCCATTTCCATCCGATCAGATCCACTGGACAGATGAACAGATCCCCATCTGTCTGTTTTTTACATACAGGATCAGATGCCTTCAGGTGTCTGCGGACACCCACTGCTCCATAGAGAGCTATGGCGCGCCCTATCGGGTCTGCCTGAAAAACTGAGGCGGACCCGATCGGACCTTCAGTGTGAAAAGGGCCTAATACAGGAGGGGTGTTACTGGTCAGATCACGAGGCGAAAAAAAAGCATAACAAAAATTAATGCAGCCACCAAATCTAATGATTGATAAGCTGCAATATATTACATTTTTGGTTTTGGATTTAAATGGCAACATATTGGCACAGTGGCATTGAATAGCTGGCACTATAACACCTCCTGATGCAAGTCCTGTAGTAAGGGATAAGCATTTGAGGTCCCATATATCACACATCTAGTTGAACTCATTTCTCAGAAACCATTGTTATGGGTTTGCAGTGACTGAATACTGATCTTTAAATGACTACTTGAAATGTTCATAGACCTCATTCTAGAGCAGCCAGCTCCTTGTGTAGCTCTTCATGTGGCAGAGTGATGGAACAGTCACTGATCACATAAGACAGCTGCCGACTGAGAAGTCAACTAAACAATATGCCAAATACGAGCCTATAGCCCCTCATAATCCTTTCCCCTTCCAAGCACTTCTGTCTCTAATCTTCTACATGACTTGTTACATCAGCAGGAGCTACAGGACACTCATTCGGCAGGAAGAGGTTAAAGCTCGCTTTCCCCAGCCGATGGCAGATGGGTGTGGCTGGATTCTGAACAAGGATGGAGATGCTGGCAGTTGCTAGGGGACAGCTCTCTTCTGTTACTATAGCAACAGAGGACCATCTAAGTGAGCTGTTCCCATCCTCCCTTCTTTGTTATGCAGAGCCCCTGCTACTAGTGTGACCCCTCCACTTTCACACTGTATAGGTTATGTGCTCAGTGTATAGAGGATGTACAGAGAGCTGTATCTGTGATTCTGCTCATGTATTTTCAGCCTGTGCTCTCCCTGCTTCTTGTCATCAAAATATAAACTCTCCCTGATGACATTTACAAGCAGCCAAGAGCTCCACCATTTTTCCTACTGCTTGCAAACATCCAAAGTGTCTGACGGTTAATCCTGGACGACAGGTTTTTGGCGCATGTGTGGTGACGGCACCAGGGGGCGGTTCTCAATAAACAAATGTTCGCTTACAGAAATTTTCTGAATGATGGAAAGGCTGGAGGCTCCCTGAAACATTTTTGTCAGATATTATTCATTTCTGGGTGTTTTAGATGTGTTTACAATTCTGTTTTTGATTTATTAGCTATGCTACACTATCAAAATGGAAAAGTAACATGGTCTTCCCACTCAGTGCTTCACAGTTGCATCCAAGGAATACTACAGTACCCCAATTGCATCCAAGGAATACTACAGTACCCCAATTGCATCAAAGGAATACTACAGTACCCCAATTACATCTAAGGAATACTACAGTACCCCAATTGCATCCAAGCAATACTACAGTACCCCAATTGCATCTAAGGAATACTGCAGTACCCCAATTGCATCTAAGGAATACTACAGTACCCCAATTACATCTAAGGAATACTACAGTACCCCAATTGCATCCAAGCAATACTACAGTACCCCAATTTCATCCAAGCAATACTACAGTACCCCAATTGCATCTAAGGAATACTGCAGTACCCCAATTGCATCTAAGGAATACTACAGTACCCCAATTCACCCTAAGCCCTTAGCTTGGTATTCTGATAATCTGAGAACCCTGCTGGTTATGCCAGAGAGCAATTTCTATACATGCCCTACTGTAAGCTCCTTGCGGTCTGTCATGTACAGAAAGCCAGATGTAATGATGTGTTAGCACACTGGAGCTATGTTATCACAACTGGACTTGGAAGTTTGAGTGTGGTTGGTGATACCTCAAGGGTAGGTTGCATTACATAGCACAGACCTGCATGTGACAAGCTGTCTGGAATGGGACTGCGGGGGATTACAGAGAATTCAGGTAATCTGATGGATTTACTGACTTAAAGTGGAACTCTACTCCACTTTTACTTTCTCTTGATCCAGTGATACAACATTATAAGCTCTCTTCCCAGTGCTGATTCCTCCCCTGATTGTGCACAGAGCTGTGCATGTGCAGCATGGTGTACAGTATAAAGATGATTGCAGGGTAGCAGGTAAAAAAGCCTTGCAAAAGAGAACGTTGTATGTCTCTTCTGTGCACATTTTTTTGCTTACATTCCAGTTTGCAGTTGCACTGTTGCTGAATAGAAGTAATAACCCAATGGTTGGTTTCATGCGTTGTCTAAGTAATGTACAGCCTGATGTGGTTGAATGAAAAAAAAAAATATTTTTTTTTTTAATTGGTAGGAAACACATCTTGGTGATACATAATCAAAACTTTTATATTCTGTGCTTTCTTAAGGCCAGATTCATACTGTTGTACATTAGCATGCACATTGTGCTAAGGCAGCACGTTCATTTGGATTGGGTTCTCAATGCACTGCAACATATGCTATAACACATCTGTACCTTCTTTTACTAAGTAAGTGTCGAAAAATAATTAAAAAAAAAAAAAAAACATTTTATCAGTTGCTTCACCCTAGATGACACAGACCAATATACATACATACGTGCAGCTTTGCAAAGAAACCATGCAAAGAAACCAATCAGCTTCCAGGTTTTATTGTCAAAGCTTAATTGAACAAGCTGAAATTAGAAGCTGATTGGCTACCATGCACAGCTACACCAGATTCTGAGTACTTCAGTTTTAGTAAATCTACCCCATTTTGTATATTGGTCTGTCGCGTCTTGGTTGCAGCAAATGATACATGTATTTTTGTACTATTTCTGGACATTAATTTAATTACCGTATTTTTCGTTCCATAAGACACTTTTCCCCCCAAAAAAATGGTGGAAAATGTCTGTGTGTCTTATGGAGCGGTCGGCCAGTATTCCCGCCGCCGCCACCATGTTAGAATACCGGGCCAGCCACTTGGCTCTACTGTGAAAAGACCCCGCTCCTCCGTCCTACTTGTTCCTCTGTCCAGCGGTGTCCTGCTTCTATCGGCCGTATTCTCTCCCTCGTGTCGGCATCTTTAGTGTGGGCACCCGGTTGTGACAGCTCACGACTTCACAGCCGGGTGCTCACTGCTCATGCGCGAGAAGTGCTGAGCTTTGTGAATGGCCCCGTAGTCTTGCGGGACCCGTCACATGTCCCACAAGACTACGGGGAGGGGGGGGACACAACTCCACGGAGGTGGGAGCGGGTACCTGTCAAATTCGGGTACCAGCCCCCTCCCCTCCTCCCCAAAGGTCCGCAGCCTGGTCATCTCCTGTACTATGTCCGCAGTCTCTGGTCATCTCCTGTAGTACGTCCGCAGTCTCTGGTCATCTCCTGTAGTACGTCCGCAGTCTCTGGTCATCTCCTGTAGTACGTCCGCAGTCTCTGGTCATCTCCTGTAGTACGTCCGCAGTCTCTGGTCATCTCCTGTAGTACGTTCGCAGTCTCTGGTCATCTCCTGTACTGTGTCTGCAGTCTCTGGTCATCTCCTGTACTGTGTCTGCAGTCTCTGGTCATCTCCTGTACTGTGTCTGCAGTCTCTGGTCATCTCCTGTAGTACGTCCGCAGTCTCTGGTCATCTCCTGTAGTACGTCCGCAGTCTCTGGTCATTTCCTGTACTATGTCTGCAGTCCATTGGTTCAGAATTTTTTTTTCTTGTTTTCCTCTAAAAATCTAAGTGCGTCTTATGGTCAGGTGCATCTTATGGAGTGAAAAATACGGTAGATTCTCTTAATGGTGAAATATGTAATACATACAGTATTTTGGATACTGATTCAGTTTTGGGTACAGGTTTTTTTTTGCCCTTTTGTTAATATTATAGTTTGATATGTATAGTTGCACATTTTTTATGTTGCATTATATAGCAGCATTATAGTAGTGCAGACGTTTCTTTGGTCATTACTTTATATCAATTTTACTAGTGTTATGTACAGATGCTTGTGATATTTAGAATTGTTGTGGTTTCTTCATATATGTTCTGATGCTAGTATGAGGATTGGTATGTACTTTAAAATCTTTGTGTGGCCATGTTTAGACTTAATAGTAGGGGGTTCAGTGAGCGCTAACTAATACAGCAGCTGATACACTAAAAAGGAAAACCATAAAACCTTAAAACTGACAACATAACAGTGCTAAAAAAATATGACTGCACTAGTGTTTGTAAGGTGGTGCAAAGTTCCTTAGATCTTATCAAATAGTATAGGCCACATGCGATGTGTATGACCTTCCCAACAAAGATAAAGTAATGGCGTATGCCACACACGCCTTCACTTCACCACATAAACGCACAATATAAATGCACAATAAAAAGATAGTCCAATGAAAATTTGGTGATCAAAAAGCCACAGATGGGTTGAGAAAGGTTTGATAAGATCCCTGTGACAAAAATAGTCCGGCGTTATGCAGAAAAATGAGTAAATTGCGCACTCACCGGAAGCACAATTTAATTGCGCATTTGTGTCATATACACCAAAGGTCACTCCAGCTGTGGATGGAAAGAAGCTCGGAACGGGTGACTCCGTAATGGGGGGTGCCGTATCTTTTTTCTTGCTTTTGAAGACTTAATGTCCGGATCACCTAGTTATTTGTTGACTGACCCCAAGCTTATTTCCCTGTTTTCTTCCACAGATCCTTTATCTGATTTACCTGCAGCCTTTGCAGCTTCTGAGTCATCAGCCACTGAAACTCTTTATTGATGGGCGCACACCACTCTGAAACTAGAGCATTGGTCTGTTGCTTCTACCAGTTGCTAGTCTTGTGTCCTTTAGAGACCCTAGGGCCACAAATACTTTCTCATTGAATCCAGTATTTCAGCTGTTTCTCTACAAAGATTGGGAACATCATGAAAATTATTTGATTCTCCCAAGAACTTTATAGCCTTGTACTTATTTGGAAGGATTTTATTCAAAAATGGTCTCCCACCATCCAGCAGTGCCCTATTTTTAACAAAGCTACCACCATCCCTATGAAGGATACCATGATTATAGAACACATGGAACAAATGGCTGTAGCTTTAAACTTTATTTGTGATGGTGTGTTGGAGGTTTCCCTCCTTAACTTTTGCATGGGTTTCCTGTTAGTACACATTTGTAGGACACTTTGTTTATTGTGCTGGACTATGGAACCCATGTCCAAGAACCATGCGATCCAAACAGCCTGTGAGGAACAGCCTCTGTTTGGCAAGAGCACTCATCCTTTTGACAGAAGAAACCTGAGGAACAGACTGCAAACATGTCTCCCTCTTTATCTGCTAAACATATCCTTTTGTTATACCTGTTATTCCCATACCCTGTACATTGAGATACCCCATGCTTGGCTCCCATTCTGGGGTTCAAAGTTTGTCAGATCCCCAGAAAAGCTATTTCCGGCATAGAGGTGTGTCCTGTCTTTCCAGAATGGGGGATGTTTGTTAAACTTTGCGGACACTTGGGCAGCTTCCATCCCAAATATAATATAATATTGGGGTCCCTTCCTTCTCCTTGGTTTCTTGCCACCAAACTTCTTTTGTCACAGATTACCAAATTTTCATTAAACCTTCTCAGATCTTTTGGGCTTAAGGTGTCATTGTTCCAGTTTCTGTGGCAGAAAAATTTCAAGAATTTTACTCCAGCCTGTTCACTGTTCCCAAACCCAAAAGGAACATACACCTCATCTTTGATATCAAAGTTCTGAAAGTCTTCACGTGAGCCCAGGAGATCCACATGGGATCCCCCAGGTCTTTCACCACCTCCCTTTTAGCAGGGAGTCTTTCTGGCTTTTGGGAACTTATAGAATACATAGATATATGTCCTCATTTGCTGATGATTTTTATGCATTATTGTGGAGCCCCTACAATACCAGTTTGTGACCTTTCCCTTAAGCCATTTACGATGCAGGGGAGTTTGCCATTCTCTATTGATTTCTTTCCTGATCAATATCTTGTAAATGCAAAAGATTTTGTTGGCTCTGCATCTGTGTAGGAATATCATATGTTCAGATTCAGGTAAACAATGTCACGGTGGTAGCACACATCAATTGTTAGGGACGAAATAGAAGTATTGCTGTAGCAAGAGTAGTAGATTGGATCCTGTTCTAGGCAGAGCTTCATGTTCCTACCTTATCCTTCGTATACATCCCAGGCATAAACAGTTGTTAGGCAGACTTCCTCAGCCAACAGCGCCTGGATCTGGGGGGGAGCTAGTTTCTGCCTTCAACCCGAAAATTGTTCTTCTGTCCATTTCTCCAGTTTTAGTTCATCAAAAGGAAATTTCACTCCATTGACTGGATATGGTTTGGGCTGTGTCTGTCTCTCAGCTGCTGCTTCTTTCAGAATGACCGGTTCCTTTTTTGCTGTTGCGAATGGACCTTGTAAAAGTATACCACCTTCTCGTTCCACCATCACTAGGTGGTCTAGGTAGACCATATTCCAAGCTTATGGTCTCCACAATTGGGTACAATCCTTTTTCTGTCAAGCCACGTTGTACTAGATCTATGAGTGCTTTTTGGTCTCTTTATTCAGTTGCTAGGGAAGACTGCCTTATTAACACTCTGTCTGGTTCAGTGTTTTTTCAGATTTGTCCTAATGGAGCTGATTTAAGAAAAACAAAAAATTGCTAGTGTGAGAGTATTATGACTGATGTCCATTGCAACCAGTCTGGGACTGTCTTCCATATCTTGGCTAGAAAAATAAATATTTACCTTCAGATCTTTTCATTTGGTAAACGTACACACTTCTACTACTAAATCATTAAAAGAGTCTCTCACTCTCTCTAACATGAGTCATGACCATTATCTTGCAGTATACATACGAAGGCAATGACTCTGGTGACATGAAGGTGGACTTTTCTATTGTTTGGGATGGACATTTTTACATTGATAAACCTGCATCCTTCCAAGGTAAGAATTGGATAATTTTTTTCTTTTACAACAATTACTGTGTTCAGTTGATAAAAAATGTGAGGAAAATGTATATGTTACTCATGTTTTATCTTTTGAATTAAATAAAGGTTTGAAAATGAAAGCTAATTTTGAGTAGTAGTACTCCTCCCTCTTCCCCCACTTAAGTTTTTAAAAATATTCCTTAGTGGGTCTGGTTATCTGAAAGTTTTTTGAATGAAGAACAGTATATGACATCCATAGAAAGTAATCAAATTCTGTTTCATTCTCCAATACTGCTCTGTGAATGAAAGAAGAATGTCATTGGTTGCTACAGGCAGTAAGAACTGTCTTTTCTTCTGATGTTTTGATAAATAAGCCCCACCTCTTGTGTCACTTGTCACTGCACACATCTTTCTCCATTTCCCCCAGCTCTGCTATATAAATGCCCAGCACAGCGTGATAGCTGTGGCCTCTGTTTGAAGGCGGATCCTCGCTTTGAGTGTGGCTGGTGCGTGACTGAAGGAAAATGCCTCCTAAGGCAGTATTGCCCTAATCCGAAAACCAACTGGATGCATCTCAGTAAACGGAACACACGGTGTACCAGCCCTCAGATCTATGAGGTAAGTTGTCTCAACAGTACTCACAGCAAAACAGCCAAATTTTGAAGTTAAAGGGAAACTCTGCTGGGTATTCTTAAGGGGTGGAGTTAGGGTGAGACTGATGTGGAAAGATCACTCTTCTCTGCTCTTCATTTCTTTATGGTCTGAGGGTCCATCATTTTCAAGTCCAGCAATCAGAACATAACCGTTTCAGACCTATTCTAATTTATTTTACAGAGGCTTCAGAGTCTTCTGTTTTACCTTTACAGTGTCTGCTGTGCACAATAGGAAAAGCATACCTGTAGCCACGTTGTCTTTCAGCAACTACATGTAAACTAGCATTCAGTGTGTCTACAGACTCCTTCCATTTGGACACATTGAGTGCTGAAAAAACCTGTACAGGTACATTAGTATAAGAGGTAACATACACTTGCAGAATGTATACTACACTGCCTTGAAGTATCATGTTGTTTTAGGAAAACAAAAACATTTATATACCATCACCAACAATTGAGCACAATTGTCTAAATATTCTTTTTGGATTTTTTGTGGCCCTTTTGCCTTGTGTTAATCATTGTACCATTTTTGTTTTTTTCCCACAGATTCATCCTCTCACTGGTCCAAGAGAGGGTGGAACCAAGGTGACTATCACTGGTGCTAACTTGGGTCTCTTCTTCAGAGAAGTGTGGGTACAGGTGGCTGGAGTACAATGCTCATCAGTACCCTCGCAGTACATCAGTGCTGAGAGGTGAGATTTGTCCGTGGGACAATAGAAGCTCAATTGGGAAATTGGACAGCTTGGTGTTTTTTTATTCCATACAGTCTGTAGACTTACATTTTCAAACACGGTACCTTGTGCTGACAAAATATTAATTGATGTTTTGAGACTGTGCTGTCACAGAAAGCTGCTGGTCTAACTAAAGCTTAGGAAATAGATCATGCTTCCATTGACAGAAAGTCTTGTGATCACATGAAGTTTGTTGCAAGCAAACCTGCTAGCTCCAGCTATCACTATGTCTCAAGATACACTGAGAGCTGAAGTTGACAAAATGCAGCTGTCACACTGAAATATAGTGTGTAAACATAGTTTTAAAAATTTTACCTTTTATGTGTAAAATTCATTTTTCACAGTTGTGCCCATTTGTCAGCTTGTAATAGTTAAGTTGAACAGCACATTTTAAACCGTGCACAAATAAAAACACTATATGTCCTTAAAGAAAAATAAATTTAGATAGTTAATTATTCATAGTTACCTGACTTTGCTAAATCTGAATGATCTAGGTTCCTCTAATGCATTTTTCTTATATGGGCTTAAGGAGCAAACTTGTACTACTAAACCATTAAAGATTGTCTGTGACAATGGTGACAAGAGTTATTCAAACAAGAAAATAACTCAACATATGGACTTTTGAGGTGCCCCAAAGAGTTACATAGTTAGTCTGGCTGAAGCAACACACAAGACCATCTAGTTCAACCATAAAACAGAAAAAAAGAGTAACCCAGAAGACGTTAATTATTAAAATAACAAGGGAGAATACCTCCCCAATTACCCTTTTATTAATACGAAAAGTTAACAATACAGATATATCCAAAAATAAAATATCAAAGCTGCAAATGCTATCATATAGTAGTTTGATTCAATATTACAAAATTATTGGAGCATCAACTCTTAACAATATGTTCAGTTCAAGGTTGACTGCTATTCCTCAGCATGTTTCGCAGTAAGTTGTACCTGCTTCTTCAGGAGGATAAAAGTTGCTACTGTAAGATAAACAAATGTAAAACATACATCAAGTTCAACAACAAGTATATAAGATATACGTAAACAAGGTAATGTGGTAGAACCTGATACATACAGCCAAGCTGTATAAAGATGGATATAGATCCAATGTGGTAGGCATCAAATCAAAAAAGGTGAAAAAGGCCCCAGAGGTCATCCAGAAACACGAGGTGCAGGTATCCCCCACGTTCGGGTATGATGATGATAAGACAAAAAATAATAAATAACTGGCATGAATTTTAAAGTGGTTTTAAAGCAATACATTTTTTTTAAATCTTAATGCATTCTCTGCATGAAGGTAAAAAACCTTCCATAATCAACTCCCCCTCCCCCTAAAGGATAAGTAGCGTCAAAGCTCTTCTGGCCTTACTTCTCCTGTGGGCCACAGGTGCGCACTTAGTTCTGCACTCCTGTGACCCATATTTAGCCAGCAGCAGGCTAAAGCCCGCTGTTGGCTGACATCACTGAACCGCTCCAGGCTCTGGAGAGATCCTAACTTTAGATTCCTGATGTGCAGCTTGAGTCAGCCGCTTCCACCCCTGCCATAGCCCAGCACTCTTGTGAGTGCTGGAATGGCAGAGCAGAGAGCTGGTGACTGACAGTCAACGACTTTCTGCTCACTGAAGACCAAGAACTGAGTAATCAGCAGTCTTTGATTGCTCGGTTCTTGGTATTAGAGGGGGGGGCGGGAGACAGATGCAGCATTGGATCAATGCTGTATTCACCTAGCTGAGTATGTATGTTGTTTATTTTTAATTCCCATACTTCTCTTTTAAATACTTACTGGCTCCTCCTTTGATCCCAGTACTGTGCTCATCTGCAACAGCACTGCTCTCTCTCCCCGTCTTCACACAGGACACAGAAGCAGGAGCCATTGACTCCTGCTGCTGTCAATACAATACTGAGAGCAGTGGGCGGGACCATGTCGTGTATGTCTACGGATGCAAACAGCCTGGCTTGAGAGCATACCCTCAAGAGTGCCCCCATAACACACAGCTTGCTATGGGGGCAGTCATGGAAGAGTGGATAGTGCCAGAAGGTAAGGGGTCACTCTGCATTTCCATTGCACAGAGCAGGTAAGTATAACATGTTTATTATTTTAAGAAAAAAAAGGACTTTACAAGCATTATCAAAAAAAAGAAAAGAGAATTCTGGCTTTTGATACAGTCAGTTCAGGGATACAACCGATTATTTCTTCTGCAAAACTGGAATAGAAATTATTCAGTTAAAAATATTTTTTTCTTTTTTTTTTTCAAGTGAGGATGTTTAAAGAGCATTGATGTTGAAAGTGTTTACACCCCATAGCTGTTAGACTTTACCTTTCAGGACATCAAACCAAAAAAGCTGCATTTTGAATGTCTGTGGGTTGTTGTTCTTTGAACATTTGCAGACTTTTTTTTTTATAGAAGAACATTGGCTTCACAAGGTACAATCACAATGTAGCACAAGCTTGTCCTAGATGTGAGATCACGGTTTCTTATTTCAGCCAGATTGCAGTTCCCTGGAGAAACTGTTTTTACAAAAAGGTGGTGTGGTTTATTTGTTTTTTTTTCCTGAAAATCAATATGTGATTTGGTAACACTGATGTGTGCTTTACTGCGTATGTGAAGGGTGAATTTTAATGAAATGGCCGCTTTTAAGATGGAATAGTAATATTTTGTCTACTCTTTTAATGACCTCCACTTTGAATACGGTCAGCACCCCACTTTATTACTCGCCAACCACGATCACCTGCAGATTGTGCTCTAAGGTCCGTCTAATTCATTTGTTCAGCCAGAGGAAGCGAGCCTGGTGCTTAATGAACGCTATAAGGAATCTCGTTCTCCCACGCTCAGTAAGAAGCAATTAAGACGTAATGGTCTCGCCATGAATCAAACAGCCACTCTCTCCACCCTCAGCTGCGCCAGGAAGTTGCTGCACAAATTGCAAGTAGATAAATAGTTACAGGATGATGGATGGCGCATTTCCTCATTGCTTTCCTAATTAAATCGCCATCCAGGGCCTGTGCACACACCTGCTGTGACTCCCCCACATTACTTATTGTGAAGCTCTTCCCACAGCCAAGGCCTGTGTGCCACAGGTCTGTCGTCGCCGAATAAAATATAAACTTGTTGAACTTAAAAAAAAACCCACCCAAACAACTCAATTATATACTTCAATGGCTTGTCCTTTAAAAAAAAAAGTGATATTTATTACATATTAATTAAATTCAATTTTATAATTTTTTTCTTTTTTAAGATGTGTGTTTAGTTCACATTTTACAGAAAACATTTCAAGGTGATTGAACATCAGACACCCTCCCCACTAGCCCACATCCCTGCTGTACTTACCTCTGGGGTTGCTGAGCTGCCAGCACCCCCAGAGCCTGTCCAGCGGTCCAAGGGTTTGATATACCTGCTCTTCGCCATGCAGCGCTTCCAGGACAGATAAGATTATTTCTGATTGGTTCACTGTGGTGGTGCTGACCAATCTCATCACTGTAAATTTAAATCACTGGACTACTGGATTGGCTGCTGACAGCTCAGCAACCCCGGTGTTAGGTACAGCGGGGACTGGGGGGGTATCCAGTATTCACCTTTTGCATTTCTTTCTGTGAACAAACCTTTTATCTGTGGGCAAATAATTTTTGCAATATTTGGTAAAGGGTTAGTTCTCCTAGACCAGTGGTCGGCAAGCCGCGGCTCGCGAGCCACATGCGGCTCTTTACAAACTTAAATGCGGCTCTCCTGTGTGCCGGGCGCCCGCTCCCCTCCCTCCTCTCGGGCGGCCGCCCCAAAAGTCAGGACTCTGCAGCTGTCAGGATGTAGGCTGGGCAGCCAGGATGTAGGCTGGGCAGCGTGACGAACTCCTCTCCTCTCACAGTCCGCCCTGAAGACCAGAACGGCGCGGGAACACGGCGAGAAGAATGCGCAGAGCAAAGGTAAGTGAATTGACACAATATGGGGAATGAATTACTATAGGGGGGATGAATTACTATAGGGGGGATGAATTACTATATGGGGGATGAATTACTATATGGGGGATGAATTACTATATGGGGGATGAATTACTATAGGGGGAATGAATTACTATGGGGGATGAATTACTATGGGGGATGAATTACTATGGGGGATGAATTACTATATGGGGGATGAATTACTATGGGGGATGAATTACTATATGGGGGAATAATTACTATATGGGGGAATAATTACTATGGGGGATGAATTACTATGGGGGATGAATTACTATATGGGGGATGAATTACTATATGGGGGATGAATTACTATATGGGGGATGAATTACTATGGGGGATGAATTACTATGGGGGATGAATTACTATATGGGGGATGAATTACTATATGGGGGATGAATTACTATATGGGGGATGAATTACTACATGGGGGATGTATTACTATGGGGGATGAATTACTATATGGGGGATGAATTACTATATGGGGGATGAATTACTATATGGGGGATGAATTACTATATGGGGAATGAATTACTATGGGGAATGAATTACTATGGGGGATGAATTACTATATGGGGGATGAATTACTATGGGGGATGAATTACTATGGGGGATGTATTACTATATGGGGGATGAATTACTAGGGGGGATGTATTACTATATGGGGGATGTATTACTATATGGGGGATGTATTACTATATGGGGGATGAATTACTATATGGGGGATGAATTACTATGGGGGATGAATTACTATATGGGGGATGTATTTTCAGTTTTAAAAATGTGGCTCTCAAAATAAATTTCAGTCGTGGTTTTGGCGAGATTTGGCTCAGTTGAAAAAAAAGGTTGCCCACCACTGTCCTAGACTAATATCTTGCTCTCTTCTAATCCTAGTTACGCCAACCAAAACTCCAAGGTGGATAAAACAGAGTCAGAAATTATGGCAGATACATCTGGCTGTTGTAGTATCCCAATACCTATAAGAGGCCATATGTAGATCACTTTTCATAGGGTC